TTTAATGTATCTTTTATGCATTATTCAAAAAAAATATTAGCATTGTGCACTTCTTCTCTATATTCTCTATAAGTGTAGGAAATTTCATACTCCTCCGTCCGCGCAATTTTCGTAAAAAGGGATACAAAGTTTTTGCTTCACGTATTAATATATAGATACATATCTAACATGTATATACGAATGGTTTCGATGTTTTTTTATTTTATTTTTTTATTGCTTAGATGCGTGGACGAGCTCACAGCCCACTTGGTGTTAAGTGGTTACTGGAGTCCATAGACATCTACAACGTAAATGCGCCACACACCTTGAGATATAAGTGCTAAGATCTCAGTATAGTTACAACGGCTGCCCGACTCCACGTAAATTATAGTTTTGCGGGTTTGATTTTTATTACAAGATGTTATTCCTTCACCGTCGAAGTCAATCGTGAACATTTGTTGAGTGCGTTAGAAAAATTGGTAGCCGCCTGGGATTTTAAAACCGGTGCATCGCTCAACACCAATGCACTGGACGTCTTATCCCTTAGGCCACGACGACTTCATGACCGACTTCATGATGACCGAATTCCTTCATGTAATAAAGTGAAACTTGGTATTTTTAATTGGAGTATTTACTGGCGGCAGCGGTGGTGAGCCTATGCGAGTGGACATTACCACCACCCCGCTTAACTAAGAGGTCATATCTCCCGGCTCGGGTGGTCCTGCCTTCGAGCAGACTTAACGCTAGATGGGCGATGAGGTAGTGCACCGACTTAGTGAAATATAATTGTAAATAGACATGCTTTAACAAAAATCGACTTCAAATAAAAAAAAAGACATTCCAAAACAAATTAATATACACTAAAAACAATAATCATCGAAATCGGTTGGCATGATATTGAGTTAATGAGTTATTCATTTATTTGTCGCGCACGTACTTAATGCAAATTTAAGACTTATGTGGTTTTCTCATGGACACCATTATCAGAAATGGGACTACACGGGAAGCGTCAGCTTTCTAATAAAAAAAGAATCATCAAAATCGATTCACCCAGTCAAAAGTTATGAGGTAACAAACATAAAAAAAAACAGTCAAATTGAGAAACTCCTCCTTTTTTGAAGTCGGTTAAAAATAAAAATGTAATATGTTATAAAGTTAATTTTTTTTTCGCCATAGCGATTTAAACAGCCCGTAAGGTTTTCTTTACGTACGTAATTACGTGATACGTTCATTGTTTTAATTTCCCCAAATTTCTTGAACGCTTGTCTTGTCTAAAAATTTTATAATTTATTTATTTATTGATTATTGTAAATTTCAAGTTCGGTTATCGAAATGACCTTTTGCGTGTTTGTGCTGCGCCGGCGGGACGATAACAACTCACTAAGGTCAATTTGTTTTTCTCACGAAGTTGAACACCTTCTATCAGCGTTACCTTACCGTGTAGGTGAGCTCTCGGGGCTCAAGCCGGAGGCGTTGCTAACACTGGCCCTAGCAAGAGCAGCGCTTCAAAGAATCTAACACCGGATCGGAAACGCGACCCACTGAGAAGATCCGGCGAGAAACTCAGTGGGCTGTGTCTATGGGTTAATTTACTCGTCGAGCCCTTCGTCGCAAGCGACGGGTTCGACGAGGACAGTGACCGGTGCTTGAGGTACCTAAAAGCATTGTTAATGGATCGGGAGGATCCGTAATGACGTGTTTTGGGCGACTATTTACCATTCGGTCAACAGGATCGGGTCTGTAATTTCCGGCGGCTACGATCAAAGGGTTTTCATATCGTGCCGCCTTCTTAAAGTAGTGTATTTGTGTATGCATGTGTGTGTATAGTGTGTATGCGATTGTTTTTTTTTGCTTAGATTGGTGGACGAGCTCATAGCCCACCTAGTGTTAAGTGGTTAATGCAGTCTATAAATATCTACAAAATAAATACGCCACCCAACTTGAGATATAAGTTCTAAGGTCTCGAGTATAGTTACAACGGCTGCCCCACCCCTCAAACCGAAATGCATTACTGCTTCACTCTGCTGATTCACAAGAGGTCCTACCACCAGTATGACTGTATATACTTACTGATTGAGTCAAGCTCCAGGTCATCATGGAAGTTGCTAGTGCGTGGCAATGTGCCGACTTGAGGTTCCAAAATAGAAGCAGGAAAGAAGGATACGATAGATAAAAAAGTACTCGAAGTAGCCAAGCTTAGGAATAATTGGAGATAATTTTGGCACGACCTTTCTACCGTAGCACCACCCGCCATCGGAGCAGAGTTCGTCTCTACTACCTAGAATCATTGAGTTCACACACATCCTGATATCTTCTTTCTAAGGTGTTTTCTAAGCGCAAGGAAATTTCGTGCTTTCTTTCTTTAAATCACCGCTCACCATCAGATGGGCCGTCAGTTAGTCCTGAACAAATAAACACGCTATTTCATGTCCGCTCACTTGGTCTTCCACTCAACCAACTGTACTACCTCTATCTTTTTTTCTTCTTCTTTTTTGCCCTTGTAGGCAGACGAGCATACGGCCCACCTGATGGTGAGTGGTTACCGTCGCCCATGGACTTCAGCAATGCTAAGGGCCAAAGCCAACCCGCTACCTATCTTAACATTTTGACACAAAATAAGTAAATACTCTCGCGGTAAATTTTACGGTGTTCATTTTAAGCTTAATCAGATTCCTGATTCGCAAAGTCCCTAGAAAAAACATTGTTCGTTTAATAGATAATAATCTATAAACCGTTCTACAAAATCACTGTCCAAAGTTAAATACAAAAGTATTTGAATACAAAACGTGTTAAATATTCATTTGACCTTGTGATAAACTTGAGGATGTCAAACTGCAGAAACTTACAAAACGTAAAGTGGAGTTAATGAGGATATTAATCTAGCCAGCGATAATGGAGTGCGAGATATTATCAACGTAGGCGAAAATTTAAAGCATTACGGACTGCAATCGTGCGAGTTTCTTAAAATTTCGAAGGATTAAAATCGCTATATTTAATTACTAGCTTTTGCCCGCGACTTCGCCTGCGTGAAATAGTTAGTTTGGAATAACGCTAAATTTTACCCGCCTCTTCATTTACGTAGAATAACATCTTTATAAAAACACCTTCACAAATAAAGCTTTATTTTAGAACAAATTTGGTTAGCATAAAAACGTTATACAGAGCCAACCTTAACATATAGACATATGTTGTACTTTTTTGGATCTTTTAAAAGGGAACAATTCTGTCATACATTATTTTAGCGAAACTTTAACCGTTTCTGCAGCGCACGTCGTGGAAGCTTTCAAAAGGTACAAAATACCCGATTTTGAAACATTCTTTATTGGTGCTCCGCTTGTAGTAGTAGTCTTAGCGTGATGTTATATAGCCTATAGCCTTCCTCGATAAATGGGCCATCTAACACTGAAAGAATATTTCAAATCGGAGCAGTAGTTCCTGAGATTAGCGCGTTCAAACAAACAAAATCTTCAGCTTTATAATATTAGTAGGTATAGATTAAAAATCAAACCCGCAAAAATTATAACTTGCGTAATTACTGGTAGTAAGAGCTCTTGTGAGTCCGCACGGGTAGGTACCACCGCCCTGCCTATTTCTGTCGTGAAGCAGCAATGCGTTTCGGTTTGAAGGGTGGTGCAGCCGTTGTAACTATACTGAGACCTTAGAACTCATGTCTCAAGGTGGGTGCCGGCATTTACGTTGTAGATGTCTATGGCCTCCGGTAGCCACTTAACACCAGGTGGGCTGTGAGCTCGTCCACTCATCTATGTAAAATAGTAAAAATTGAAGAGACAACTTCTCGCTCGTGTTTCCGACGTATTAGACCTTGCTATCCAAATTTTAAGCTTGATAATCCCTGAACTATAATTAATCAGATGCAATATAATTTAGCGTTCTCTCTTTCACGTACAACATATCGGTTTTACTATTATGACACTAGATGGCGTTGTTCCGATTTTTTTTTAAGTTAACGCTATCGGATTTAAAGTGTATTAAAATGATAATATAATAATAGTAATTAATGTATATGAGCATTTCTCAAAATAAATGCACCACCAATAAAATAATGTACTAAAATAAAAATGTTAAACTAAAGCATTTTTTTTGTTTTCATTTGTAGATAGGTGTCTAAAGATTTTGAATATGAGGTTTGTTCTGAGGTTTAATATGTAATAAAGTAGAGAAATGTGTAGAAATATACCAAGGGCGGAGAAATATTCTTATTTTGTTNATCATTAATTAGAAATTTAATTATAAAGTAATGCTAAAAAGGATGTTTTAGGATGAATTGTGACTTATGGCTATAAATAAATAATATTTTTTATTTATACAATGCCCATGTCCATTCAACTAAAGATCGATGGTTTGGTAAGATATTGAGATTGGGACACTGCACTTTTCATACAACTGGTTGAAGCTGATTTATGATACATATTTTTAATGAAAAAATATCATTGTATTTATATCTGTTTTTTTCCTTTCTAATAAGTAGAGTAGTTATACTGCTTACACAATTTATAAAAAGTAGTAATGAACTAATATATTAGCCGGAACAAAATATTAAAAAAATGGGACAGAGGCTAAAGTCTATTGTGCAATAATTTTGAGAAATGCTCATATACATATATAATATAACAATGGCATTGACAAAAGTGACCGAGCGATATTTTGTCGTGCAATAATTTTCACGGCACTCACATAGATTGTCGCATTGAAGAATTCCTTATTTACTAATAGAAGGTGTCATAAAATTCTTGAATTTTAAACCAAACCTTGATTTGTTTTTGATGGGTTGTCAAATTAGTCCAATCACAACATTATTCATCAGAAAAAAATGCATACGACAAGCTTAATTTTAAAAGTAAGATTGTTTGCGGTGATACTTTAAAATTTGTTCAGAAGAAATGCCCGATTTTCTGTGCCTGTCTGAAGATACAGCTACGTATTTAAAGGGGGCATCCCAACCCCGAGCAATACCATTCATATGAGAGGATGCTGGTGTTTACAATGTTGTTGTTTTTCAGATCACCCCTCAAATCCCCGCGCCGGAAGTCAGGCTACCCACGCCGGCTGGGCAGATCAGAATTCAGCATGGATGAAGATGATTACTCGCCGAGTAATTCTGTGACTTCTGTCAACAGCCTCGCCAGCCTCCTTAGGGAGAAGTTACAGGTAAAAAAATCTAACTTATGCGCAGGCATCTTACTGGTCAGCATTTGTTCCACCCAACGTCTCAAGTTACGTAGCGATATTTTAGTTACGATGTTCACTCACTCAGATGGCCGCTTAAAACCAGGCGAGCAATGCGTTATAAGCTCCTAAGTCTTAATCACAACCTTCCTTTCGATTTTTAATAAAACTATTTCAAACGACGCCTCATTTAAGATTCTCGAATCAATTTCTGGCGATAAAGCTTCCGGTGCGCACGATTCCAGAGTATCCCTCAGAAGATTCGTAAGAAACCATCAGACTACAAGCTCAAGGCGTTCGTGGCGCTAATGTTCCTGGCCGTGGCGTTTTTCATCGGCTTCGCGTATGTGCTCTATCACCAGCAGGCTCACTCCAAGACTTACTTCCGAAACGTTCAGCTGAACGAACCGAAGAGGTTAATAAGGATCTACAATGAGGACGATGTGGAAATACTGAAAGCTAACTTAGGTGAGTTTTTTTCTTTCTTTATTGCTTAGATGCGTGGACGAGCTCACAGCCCACCTGGTGTTAAGTGGTTATTGGAGCCCATAGACATCTACAACGTCAAATGCGGCAACCGTCTTGAGATTTAATTCTAAGGTCTCAGTATACAACGGCTGCCCCACCCTTCAAACCGAAACGCATTACTGCTTCACGGCAGAAATAGGCAGGGTGGTTTTACCTACCCTTGCGGACTCACAAGAGGTACTACCACCAGTAAAAATACCCTATAACTCGTGTTATTGTTATACAGGGTGGCCCATAAGTCATTTGATATGAAAAAAAAATTATTAAAATAAAACTAATTACATTATGAATTAAATTTTTATTTACATAAAAAGCTTAAAAAACGGGAATTATTTTTTGAAAATAACATCTCCTAAATGTAATCCGTTGCGATCACGGCACTCTTGCAAACGACGTCTAAAATTGTCGATGACTGCGCGGCACGTCACTGCTGAAATGCTTGTCATTTCTCTGCGGATGTTTTCTTTTAGGGCCTCAATTGACCGCGGGTTTGTGTCGTATACTTTAGCCTTAAGGTAGCCCCACAAAAAAAAATCCATCGGGGTCAGATCTGGACTACGTGGAGGCCAGGAAATGTCTCCTCTCTTAGAGATAACTTTGCCAGGAAAAAGTTGACGGATAACGGGCATAGCAGTGTTAGAGGTGTGAGAAGTGGCCCCATCCTGTTGAAACCACGTCCTGGCATTAAAGCCTGAAAAGTTTTGCAATTCTGGTATGAAAAACTCTTCGATCATAGCCACATATCGCTCCGACGTAACAGTAACTGCGCGCCCTCTGCCATCCTCAAAGAAGTAAGGCCCTAGGATACCATGGGCTGACATAGCGGCCCAAACAGTCACTTTCGGACTATGTAAGGGCTTCTGATGCTTAAGTTTTGGATTGATGGGGCTCCAATAGCGGCAATTTTGTTTACTAACATGCCCGTTAAGATGGAAATGAGCCTCGTCAGAGAACATTATGTTATTGAAGGAAGTAAACCGATTCAACATTTCATTCGCATAATTTTGTCTTTGAATACCGTCAGTTTCCTTTAATTCTTGAACCAACTGAATTTTGTAAGGGTGCATATGTAAATCTTTCTTCAAAATCCGTTGTAACGATGTCCTGGATACGTTTAATGCTCTGGCGCGCTTACGAGTTGACTGTGTCGGATTTTCGCGAATAGACTGTGTCACTGTGTCTATGTTTTGTTCCGTACGTGACGTCCTTGGGCGACCCAACCGCGGTTTATCTAACGTCGAACCGGTCTCCTCGAACTTAGCAACCCAGTTCTTAATCGTTTGAAGAGTTGGAGTGTCGTCAAAGTTGTGTAAACCTTTGTGTTCTCGAAATTTACGCCGCGCAACGGTTGCCGAATTGTCGTTTTTATAAAACTCGCGCACACAAAACGCACGGTCCGCTCCGGTAAAACGCTCCATCGCGACTAAATTCCCAGAAACCGAAGCTACTCCCCCCGCTTCCCCTGCACCGCTCACGCGCGCCCTGTTCGTTTTATTCAAATTTTACTTTTCAAAGGACTTATGGGCCACCCTGTAATATAATTTGTATTGGCTCGGTGGTGTCAGCCAAGAGTGGTACCTCTCTATCTCTTCCCGCGGGTGTCTTATGAAGCTATTCATCGAAGAATTCAGCTAAGTTCTCTGAGTATCACACCAGCTCACTGCGATCGCCAAATGGTATTTAATTATTTTGTACTACTGTTTAATCAAATCGTAAATCCGCTCGAGTAGGTACCACCATCCTGGACATGTCTCTACGAAGTACGAATGCTTTTCTGTTTCAATATATAATACATAATACAAAAAGGATTAGGTCGAATGTTTTAAGGTCAGTGACGACGTTAACGCTGTGATATTCTCCGTTAAGCACTCAATACCGAATGGGCCGTGAATACATTCACCCATCATCGTATTAAATAAAAAATTACGGCTATTCTTGGAGTTTCTCTGAAGGGTCTAGTCCGGATCGAGGTGATCCGACAGAGAACCAAAGTTATCAATATAGCACAGCGGATTGGTAAGCTGGAGTGGCAATGGGCGGGTCATATTAGTCAGAGAACCAATAACTGTTGGGGTAAAAAGTTTTCTTGAGTGGAAACCGCAAATTGGCAATCGTAGTGCAGGACGCCCTCAGGCTCTGGATGAATGAGAGAAGCCGAGGATAGTGCTTAGTAGCGTGTAATTGGAGAGTCCTGTTTCCAGCAGTGGACTGCTATAGGCCCATGATGGTGATGACGAAACAAAAAATGCGTGTAATATATTTGAATGCAATTTCGAAAAGGGCACATCTCTGAAAATGTAAAATGTTCAGGAAATGAAAAAAGCTGATTATTTTCTAAAGCAGTGTAAAATTTAAAATATTAACTTTTGAGATATATTTTAGTATTAATTAGCAACTGAAAATTACTGGAATTATTATAAAATGGGTGTAGATAAGCCTCAAAACTACATGTATATGAAAAAACGTATTTGTGAAATATGCGACATGTGCCCTTTTCGAAATTGCATATTCATTTAAAACTAGGTCACTGAAAATTACCTTATTGTATTTCAGCGGTTGGCGTCCAAGGTAAAATAAAAGCCTTCCCATGTCTACCGGAAGACCGCCGCAACGGTTCCCAGTGTCTGGAGTGGCTCCACACCCTCCGTTTCTACATGAAGTCGCAGCCGCACGACCCTGGTTTGGACAACACAACATGCTACTCCATCCACTGGCAAGCGTTAAGACCTGGTTAGATATAAATTTTATTAAAAAACCATGTATTTTAGTTGCACAATTTGTGGAAGCTGTGGTAAAATAAGTTGAAAACACGAATGTGAATGGGAATTCATCTTTCATGACAAATTCCTGATAAGATTGTGTGGATAACAGACTGTGGTCTCCTAACCTTTGATCAAACAAGAATTAGAGCTTATAGAAGAAACATTCGTATTGCTTCTGAAAAACTGAATAGTTAGTCTCATAGCCTGCCTATTTTGAGCCCTTTTTTATTAGATAAAGAGGACAACGCCGGACTACCGCCTATATGTTGGGGCGGTAGGACGACTATTAGAGTTGAATCAATTAAAAACCACTATTGTTCAATAACACACATAGGTCTTAAGCCACGTTAGTTTATCTTGTAACCATAGCTCTGTCATTATCTTTATTATTACCATTTGTCATTTAGGAATTATTTGCTGAAATATTGCTTGGTATTATTTATATTGGAGCTTATTAAATAATATATGTATGTAAAAATCTGCGAAATGACATTGGCGTGTTAATTTACTTCTGTTTGATGTTTCTTTTTAATACGCTTTTATTAGCTTCAGACGTATGTTTGTTAGTATGTAACGGAATCTTTGAACATGATTTTGACCTCCTCAAAACGTCAGATTAACTCGAAATTTGGTACACCTACTTATTATGGACCGAAAACAATTGAATATCAAAAAAATATATTGAAAAAATTGAAATTCAACCACAAAATGAAAAATATATAATAGTTTAAAAAAACTAATAAAATACGCTTTTATAGAAAATCCAACTAAAAATTGAAAATAAATTTTATTAAACTTTAATTAAAAATAGTGTAAGAAAAAAAGGATTTTATTGTAAAAAAAGCGTATTTTGTTAGTTTTTTTAAACTATTATTTATTTTATAATTGCTTCTATACAAGCAGTACAGATATCAAAATTGTTTTCTTTTCAGATGTAACTCCTACAGACTGCTTCGACTGGGGTGACACAAAGGTTCACTGGTATGGCGGCGGACAGTCTTTTAACTTGACTTGGCCTCTGGACGCAGGCTCCATAAGCTTTACACCATTCGTTACCGGTGATATGCAGAAATCGCAATGGGGCAACCTCCTGACCAGGTACTTCATCAACACTAAAGGAGCAGCAATCATTGTCGACGAAGAAACTCCTTTACACGTAGCCGTCAAGCCTGAAACCAAAGAAATATGCATTAGAGCTAAATACGACGACTTCGCTTTTGCCAACAAGATTACTGAATTTCCAGAAATGAGATACAACATTTGCACCTCAATCGATATGAAGTCGCTTCATACTTCTATTCACAGTCACAGGAGTTCGCCTCTGTGGGACGGCCTCAAGCCTGCCGATATGCAGACCTTAGATTCATTGATATCGGAACCGGTCTGGCAAATAGCGCCACGGTTCAAACACGAACTTCAAGCCGAAACCATTGCCAAGTACACCGAGGATGTCATAAACTTAGGGTTCTTAAAACAAGGGCATGTGCTCATTAACGAACATTGGCAAAATGAAATCGGTGATCTAGAAGTTGATAAGAGCCGTTTTGAAACTTTAAATGTGACTGTGGACAAATTGCATCGAAGAGGTTTTAAGGTGGCGTTCACTATCCAACCATTCATAAGCACGGAGAGCCAGAATTTCGCTGAGACAGTCCAGAAGCGATTGCTAGTTAGCGAGAGGAATAGTGATCGGCGCATCCCAGCGTTGACAAGATTCAAGTCCTTACCGAGCGCAGGGGTTTTAGATATAACGAACAACAGATCTGTGCCTTGGATTTTAGACAAACTGCAAGCAGTGATCGACGAATACCATATCGATTCGTTCTATTTTGATTTAGGAACGGCCTACGATATGCCGCATTACTATCGTTGCGAAAGTTTCCTAATTAACCCTGATCATTACAAAACGATTTTCACGAAAACATTCGAAAAAACCTTGAACATTATTGGAGTGTCGTCCGCCATTTCACTGCCAAGACCACCGATATTCGTGTCGCTGCCGCCCTTTGAATCCAGTTGGGAGGCGATGAGACGAGTAATACCTACAATGCTCACGTATGGCGTCAACGGGTTCCCGTTTTTAATGCCTGGTGCCGTTGGCGGAGACATCTACTGGCCAGGGAGCGAACAGTTTCTGCCCTCGTCTAAAGGCTCAATGGACCCGATGAATATAACCCAGGAGAACGGTATAGATTTGCCCGAACGAGAGCTGTACATGCGGTGGCTTCAGATGGCAACTTTTCTGCCGGTTATGAAGTTCACTCATCTACCGAGCAAGTATAATGACGAGAGAGTGCTAGAGATGGCGAAGAATTTGACTCTGCTGAGACAGAAACTGGTAGGTATCTAAGAATGGAAGCAAGATGTGAATTTAATTCCAGAGTTGGTTCTTCAGTGTTTATAGTTGGCGTCCATTGAACCAGTTATATGGTTATGAATTTAATTAAAATTTAATCTTATTGACTATAACCATCATCACAATACCATTTTTTTTTATATTGCTTAGATGGGTGGACGAGCTCACAGCCCACCTGGTGTTAAGTGGTTACTGGCGCCCGTGGACATCTACAACGTATATGCGCCACCCACCTTGAGATATAAGCTCTAAGGTCTCAAGTATAGTTACAGCGGCTGCCCCACCCTTCAAACCGAAACGCATTACTGCTTCTCGGCAGAAATAGACAGGGCGGTGGTACCTACCCGTGCGGACTCACAAGAGGTCCTACCACCAGTGAAATGGAATGGAAGCAACATGTGAATTTAATTCCAGAGTTGGTTCTTCAGTGTTTATAGTTGGCGTCCATTGAACTACTGATATGGTTTTGAATTTAAAATCTTATTGATTATAAACATCATCACAATGCCATTCAGAATTAAATTCTATAGTTCAAAGAGACCTATGTTTGGTGCATTTTGCAATTTTCGCGTCATTCAGTTGGTCTACAACTTCACAGTTTGCTTACCTTAATACTATATTTGAATAATGATTTACCCCTATCAATTATTCAGACTTTTCTCAACACGTTTGTTCAATCTGAAGTATAAAGTTGAACAACTTCACCTCAAAATTTATTATAGAAGTATGCCTTATATCTTCATTTAAATAAAATTATTTATTTATTTATTTTATTTATTTATTTATTTATTTATTTGGGAAACAAACAGTACAATACAAAACATACAATAATGGTTTTACTATCAATTTGAGAGTAGGTCTACTACAAATAATCGACAAGAATCGCAGGACTTGTTAAGTACAATACCAAACATAAGATTTAAAAATTTCTAAATATATTTAAATCGATCCCCTTTGACACTGTTTCTGCTTCATTATGACATGACCTCAAATGCTGTTTGCAAAAGAGACCAGATATGCAGCGGCCCGGTCGTGACCCTGATATGGTCAGTATCCATCGCTAACTGGTTACTACAAGATAGCCAATATGTATCATCTTCAGACATTTAAATAATCATTTAACACCATACATACAATTTCAATTCCAGGTGACGCCTCTGCTGCTAAAGTACAAGCGAGAAGCGCTGGAGGAAGGTCTGCCGCTGATCCGTCCGCTGTGGCAGGTGTCGGGTGGTGAGGCGGCACCGCGGGTGGACGACGAGTTCGCGCTCGGAGACGAGCTGGTGGTGGCGCCCGTGCTGCACCAGGGACAGACCACTAGGGAAGGTGAGCCCAGTGCTTTACTTAGAAACACATCCGGACCGGGCCTTTCCAGTTTCACCAGAACAGGTTTGCGAGCAAAGGCTCAGCCAGGAGGGGTGGGATTTGCTAACAACTGCCTGAGCGCCTGCGAAGGACACAACTCAAGAGCAATTGCTTCGAGAATGAATGTACTACCGGATCGGGCCGCAATGACGTATTTAGGGCGACGTCGACTGTTTACTATTCGGTCCACAGTATCGGGTATGTAATTTCCGGCGGTCACAACAACAGGGTTTTCGTGTCGTGCCGCCTTCTCAAAGTACTTTAAGCAGAGATGTCTATAAATTTATTTATCTATACATTCTTACTGGTGGTAGGACCTCTCGTGAGTCCGTACTGGTATTTACCACCACCCTGCCTATTTCTGCCGTGAAGCAGTAATGCGTTTCGGTTTGAAGGGTGGGGCAGCCTTTGTAACTATACTAGAGACCTTAGAATTTATATCTCAAGGTGGGTGGCGCATTTCGTCCACCCAACTAAGCAATAAAAAAAAATTTTTAAACATGTTTCCTTCCAGTGTACCTGCCGGCCGGTCTTTGGCAGGACGGGATCGACAACTCCTTGAGGAAGGGAAACAGATGGATGCACGAGTATAAAGTGCCGGTTGACAAGGTCGCCTATTTCATCAGGAGACCAGACGACTTGAGGTTCCGATAGGATAGAGGTTTTCGAAACAATTCAATTAAAATCAACTACATAATATTTTATGTAAAATTTGCGTAATTCATGTTTTGATTCCGTAAATGCGTAAATTATAATTATGAAATAGTTTCGCGGATACATTCGCAATTTTAAAATTTATCGTATTTACCAGCCTCTGCGGTACATAACTGTTTTTTGGTTTTTTGGTGGGTGGGTGGTGAAATCCCATCCTTGGGCAAAAGACCGAAAATTAAAAAAATATTTTTAATATTTAATGTAAATTTAAAGTAAATAATATTTAAAGTAACATTAAATAAAGCTATTTTTGTTCGTACCGATATCAACCAATAATATTATGAATAGCTGTTAGTTCATATTTATTAAATTCTAGTCCACTAGATTAGATGCAAAATAATAATAATAAAAAAAAACAAATACAAAATATCGATTTAGTACATTATATAATTATAATAATAAATTGATCATATATTGTGTAAAAATGATTTTTTTGTTGTAAAGAATGCATTTTTTTTCTAAAACTTAAAATTAATATATTCTTTAAAAAAAAAAACCTCCGTAATTTGATATCACGCGTTGGGGTGTTCTGTCTGAACGCGGTTTAATATCTGGCGACAGTTGGAGCCAGCATCACAACATGTCATGTGTTAACGTTAAATTATGTTAGTGTTGTATTTCATGATTTAAAATGTAAATCATTCATACGTCGCGAAAGTAGTGATTGAATGGTCCATTTTCGTTCGACTAACGTACTGATGGTAGGGCCTCTTGTGAGTCCGTACGGGTAGGTACCACCACCCCGCCTATTTCTGCCATGAAGCAGTAATGCGTTTCGGTTTGAAGGGCGGGGCAGCCGTTGTACTGTAAAAGTCATGTCTGATTGTGGGACATTTACGTTGCAGATGTGTTGTTGTGATATATGAAGAAAAAAATATATCTACAAAGCCGAACTAAACACTGAGACATGAGTTTTCTTCTAGCAAAATCTAATAGCAAAATAATATATGTAGTCAAATATAAAAAGAAAACCCTGAGCACTATATTTAAAACATTAAGGAGTATATTAAAATTATGCTTTATACAGTATAAGCATTCAATAAAGCAGTTTACGTGCTTTGTATTGTGTTGCTATGACCGGGTAAAAAGCTTTATAACATTCAATATTCTATCCAAAGTTAGTGAGTAAGCTTTCTGCGCAACAGATAACGTGTAGATTATCGTTTGTTCAAATCATATTTTTCAGTAACTCAGTGACTTAGTTTAGATGTTGATTCTAATGTAATGCGCTGGCTTTTAAAACTCTCATATAAATTTGGACATTTGTAGGCTTGACCTAGTTTATATGATACGATATACTTGTATCGAGTGATGCATGATAATGACGATGATTTCTGGTGGTAGGACGTCTTGGGAGTCCACACGGGTAGGTACCACCACCCTGCCTATTTCTGCCGTGAAGCAGTAATGCGTTTCGGTTTGAAGGGCGGGCCAGCCGTAGCTAAAAGTGAGCCTCTAAAACTCATGTCTCAAGGTGGTTGGCGGCACTTACGTTGTAGACGTTTATTGGCTTCGGTAACCACTTAACATCAGGTGGCCCGCGAGCTCATCCCCCCAAATAAGCAATTAAAAAAAAAACTAAATAGGAAAGAAAAAAACATGATTTTTTATTTGCACAAGAACTGGTCGTAAGTCGGATGGAAAGTAAACTCGGGTTCCCCATCCTACGTATAACTGTCACGAAAAAGTCTAGGGTACCAGTGAGGCGATACTTGGAATTGTGAGCTCCTCCCGTATCAAGATCACGGCATCCACGTTGGGTCTTAATATCTATGGGGTCCCATAACGTTTAGAACTACACGCTGCGGTCAATGCACCGTGAAATATAAATGTGCTATTTGATTCTCGGTTTCTTCCTGCTACGCTATAACATTTCTATCATCAGACTAGGCTTGCGAAGAAGCTTTAAGACTAGACCATTGCTTTGCTGAAGTCCTTGTCTGCCAGTAGCCTCTTTCGCAAGGTTCGTGGTCTGCTTTCGTCAACCGTAAATATTTCAGAAGAGAGTTCTAGAGACCACCATTATCTAACTTAGGAGACGTTATTTAACTATGTCGTGCCAGTTTTATTTATGGCAATCGAATGTTCAGTTTTACCTTATTATTAATCTTCGTGGCCCAGTGGTATTGAAAATGTATAATCGCGAGGGTACAAGGTTCATATTGATACTTGGTTTGGTTGTGATATTTAGATAACGTGATAGTGTGTTCACGAGTGATCGCTAACGGTCATTGTTTATAAATGCATTGACATTGTTATTGGCATCAGCCAGCGTAATCTAGGATTTAGAGTTGTTTATGTAATGATTAAATAATGAGCTATGACTTGTATATTGTAAACCAGTGATATTTTGATGTCTATTTAGAATGTAATAACATAGTGTAGGCAATTCCTTATAATAAATCTTAACATTAGAGACACAAAATCGGAAATTCATAAATTCAAATTTATGTCTTATTAGTTTTGTATAATAATATTATAGGTATCTCTTCTATCTATAAGGCCATTTTAGGAAAGTTGTAAATGATCGATACGGAATTATCATTCCAATTTTATTTAAAGTTAAGTAAAATGAAACCCCTATCAATTGTTTTGTTTTGTAAAATGTATATCCGACGTTGTGCTGCTGATTATACCATTGAACATGTTAAAGTTAATTATATTCATATTGTTATTTGTGACGAAAATAAATGTTATAGCTAAACTTGCATCATCTTGTTTTATTTGACGACCACACAGGTTTGAGTAAATGACATAATAAAAAGGAATTTTTGACGTTTTGTCGTCACGGACAACTGAAGCCACTACAGTAAATGAGTTCCCGAAATTACCGCATATCCCCGAAAAGCTTGCAGGACACAGTATCCTTGGCGAATACTGACAACAAAGAGATGCCGCTTTGAGATGTTAGGTGGTTTTTAGATTGGGCTCTACACAGCAATAGCACTAAACGGATCTACCTTCCATCAGCACGCACCGTTTTTTTTCCTACCCATTCTGAAAGCCTTCAGAGGCTATTTCAGCTTCACCCTAGCGTGTAGGTGAGCTCACTGGGCTCAAACCGGAAGTGTTGCTAACATTGGCCCTAGCAAGAGCAATGCTTCGTAGAATCTACCACCGGATCGAAAACGCGACCCACTGAGAAGATCCGGCGAAAAACTCAGTGGGCTGTGTCTATGGGCTAATTTACTCATTTTACAATTTCAAGATAGTGTTACTTCTTACTGTTTTTTTCCTACATATTCTAGTAACCTTGAGAGGTTATACTAGATTCACCGAGGACCCACTGAGAAGATCCGGCGAGAAACTCAGTGGGCTGTGTCTATGAGTTAACCCTGCGTCGCAAGCGACGGATTCGACGAGGACGATGACCGGTGCTTGAGGTACCTAAAAGCACCGTTAATGGATCGGGAGGATCCATAATGACGTGCTTAGAGTGACGTCGACAGTTTTCCATTCGGTTCACAGGATCGGGTAAGACACGGAGAGCTGTTCCAGTTCTGGTCATGATTATTTTCTATTCCTCGATACGTGTTGTCGAGAGCAAACCCCGAGTTCTATGTGAACATGTTTGAACTGCACAGAGTAGCTCCACCCTATCTCTTCCTGAGGGTATCGTACATGGCATTAAGTGATTTACAGAATCATCAGCAGCAGCGTTCTCCGAAATCAGGGTATGACGTTCAGCATTAAGTATATGGGTGCTGATAGGGGTAATATCGGTAGGTAGCGGTGAAAGCGGCGGCAGCGAAAGTCCATGGACGACGGTAACCACTCGCACGGGTAGGAAGCCCATCTTGCCTTTCTGCCACGGAACAGTCATGCGTTACGGTTTGAAGAGTGAGACAACCGTGGTACAAATGAGACTTCAATAATATGTCTCAAGGTGGATGGCTGTATACAGGCTGTGTTGTTCACGGACCATTGTAACTACTTGACAATAGGTAAACAATAAAAAATTGTTTCAAATGCGTAGATGCTTAGAAAAATTGGTACCTATCTGTGAGATTGATATGTCTTATAGTCTTATCGTTCCAATACGAATACGCTGGACCTCTTTCTACAGCTTACGAGAGCTAGTATATTTTCGCTTCGCGTTAGGGAGATAAATAAAAAACGCATTAAGACATTTCATATTTTATTAATTTTATGAATTACTTCATCTAACACGCTTAATGGAATTGCGACATGACTGACAATGAAATTACTTTTACGCTGACGTTAGTGATATGCTGACGAGGTCTTAGTTGATGGGCGCGTGGTGCTCATTGCTGTCCTATCCAGTTTTTATTGAAGCTAATTTAATAACAATATATATTTTTTGGATTTTATATTTATTCAAATTTTATTTTATATTTTGTTAATGTTAACTGGGTGTTTGATGTCAACCCATGTCTAATGGGCGGTCAATCATGACTAGCTAGACATGTTACGGAGTCTTCATCAAAGTTACAATAGAGAGGCTTGGCTTAGTCTAGAGACCGTACGACAGGACAACAAGAGCGTATCTGATTTGAATTTCTACTTTCTCAGCACTTTGAAAATACAAGTATAAGTTCTCAAAGGAAATTTACAAATTATTACAAACAGATCAGGATTTTTTTGTGTAAGGTTGTTTTTGCAAACAAATATAAAATTTAAGATTAAAAAGTCTCAATATTTCCCTCGTCAACATACCGCTCAAATCAATCTTAACATTACACATATCTAAATACAGACATTCAAAGAAAATTTTCAATCATTATTTAAATTATTAAACACATTTAGATATCTGTTATTTAAGAAACAATAATTTTACAAGCCATCAATCAGTCCACCATTGAGCGTGCACTTTGTATTCGAAGTAAATAGTGACGGTGTAAGCAATATGAAGCGTAAGCCTTCGTTTAAATTCGCGCCAACGCGTTAAAAGCGTCTCCAACGCGATTAGCGCCGGATAAGACTGCTTTGTTTTATTTAAGCAAATGGCGCCATGGTTAGCTTAAACACAAAACAAATACTTACTTATTTAAAGTACAACCTCATGCTCGAGCACTCTTTTCACACTCTGAATTTTTTATTTGTTGTTCTAAAAGAATTATAGTGTTGTACATTACTCGTCACTATTTACTAGAATGATTTTTTTTTTCATTTCGTTACCGCTTCTCTTAGCACATCGATAGCACCACACATATGTACCTACTATAAGGTGGAACAACACATATTCAATTCATCGATCGTTTTTTTAATAAAAAAACTGGAAGAAAAATGGAGGTAGTTGGAACAAAAGAAGATCACTGATATACATTTTCATAACTGCTGTAGGCTCATGGCAGTACAATATTCAATAATAAAATAGTCACAGATCTGTAATTACGGTAATCAAATATTTTAGGATCGTGCAAATAAAAATTTCAAATTCTATCTAAATATTTCATTGCTTGTATCTAATATTATTTGCGGTAAAGATGCCTAACCTAACTTAGACTGAACTAAGTCCTGAGGTGAAATCCAATGCGATTGAATCCACCAAATATGCGGTTACACCCTAACAATTTTATCTCCTACATAAGTAAAAAAAAAACAAATATACAATTCTGACGTAGCTTTCAAAAGAAATATTTAACATTATTGTTCAACTATTTTAGAAACATTCACGTCTTTTTTCTCTGTTCTGTCTTCTAATGAAAATTTGAAACAAGGTAACCGGCCTCCTGAATTATTACAGGTGTATTTATTTGGAAATGAACCTAAAATTTCATAGAGATTAACAAAAAGATTCTGCTTATCAAATCTAATTCTGCTTTCGTCCGATTTCGTCTGAAATTTTCGTCTGAATCTGCTTAAAATTTTCGTTTTAAAAAAAATGTCGCTGTCAAAGAATTTTTGGACAACGTAACTGACTTGATAGGAGGCCTATTGAGATCATATTATGTATATTATTGATGTGTTTTCACAACAATAACATACAAGTTATTGCAGAAAAAAAAATGTTCCGGAAGAAAACATTTAATAATTTCAATAATGATTATTTATTTAATAATTTTGATTCTCATAGAGCTATTGATGTTCACTAAGCTGATACAATTCTTAGATAATAGTAACACGTTTAAACTCCTAATATTATGCATTATTTAGAGTTCTAGCTATAAAGTACAATAATGTAAAATCGGGCGATGCGACCCGGAAGANAAAAAAAAATGTTCCGGAAGAAAACATTTAATAATTTCAATAATGATTATTTATTTAATAATTTTGATTCTCATAGAGCTATTGATGTTCACTAAGCTGATACAATTCTTAGATAATAGTAACACGTTTAAACTCCTAATATTATGCATTATTTAGAGTTCTAGCTATAAAGTACAATAATGTAAAATCGGGCGATGCGACCCGGAAGAAAAGAAGCCATCTTTCAAATCATAACAAAGCCTGTCCTTGCCGATGCCCGAAATATGCCATAATTTAAATTCAAGGTCAATAATCTTGCTTGCGTAGCCGGTGATTGGATATCACAGCTTTAAGCAAAGCGTAGTGTCGGCATAGCCAAGTTGTTTAGTTCCGACATCGGCTCAGATTCCGTCTCATTAGGTATTTCACTTCCCTGTAGTCTCCTCCCGATAGCGAGAAGCATTTAAACACATAACATTATGAAACATAAATATTGTGCTCACATCAATCAAACCTATATGACATAAATATTAAATATATATATAATTTACTATAAAATAAAATCCCATTCATACATTTATCTGAAGTTAATGTGTATATTTAATTTGTTCTTTTTTTTTTTTTTTGATTGTGCTGGTGTATTTTTAAGAGATAATGTTATAATATTGAAACTACAATAAGTTTGGTAGGCAATACAAAGAAGCAATGTTCGAGCGATCGCTTGAAACATTACAGCTTATAAATTAATTGACGTTAGATTTGAGGGGTATTTTTGGCAATTCAAAATTAATCGGAAGGCTTATAGTGAATTATGATTACATTCACGCACCATTCATGTATGTTAAACATTGAAAAAAAAAACATTTCTAAATTCCTAAAGATATATTTATCGGGGTTTAAAAAAATCGAAATCAATTGAGAAATACATGTCGAAATTAAATAGGAACAATGACGAACCAAAGTCGCCAACATTTGGGTAACTAGACTAGAAATTTGAAAAAAAAAAATTATACACAAAAATACAACTGATCATAAAATACAAATGGCCAATCATAATAACAGAGAGACAACGACATCTCATTAAACATTAGACAGAGTAAACATTTTTTGTTCAAATCAACAACATAAATCGATATATTTATAGTTTTCATACTAGACGTAACAAGCAAGTAACTTCAAAACGAATTGATTCTTCTATATAGTTCTACTAAACATTTGGATAAGCTCTCTATAATTTAGGCTCATAGTTCGTCTCCAATCACAAAGGTCAATCGTCACTTGCGTTGATAAAACTCGACAGATCTCACATACGTTTCAAACTCATCCAAGTTACAGGCATTTCCTGAACGAATTTGATTCGTATGAGAAAAAAGTGAATCGAATCAACACGTAAAGTAAATGTCAATTTATGATTTCGATTGTAGATGTTAATTAACTGTTCTTTGTTTGGAAACTGTATTAGATAATAACGCCTCCGTAATTCTAGATAGAATATTCATAATATGTCACCTTTAAGAGTGATGACCTTGTATGTTCTGGTTTCGCTAAAAAATGTCTTTCAGACATTCCCCTATATTTATTACTAGAACGAACCTTGACATAAATGTGCGTCAAGGCTAGCCAGTTCATATCCGACATTTTAATATTAAACACGTGTCCATCATGAAAATTCTGAAACGAAATATTTTTACAGCGTTTTCAGCTAATTTCAAATTACAGTATACTATTCAAAACCTCACAATGCGATAGCAAAATAATTGTTTTTATTAATTATTTTTTTTTACATTTTTAAATCGTATTTTCGTCACGCCAAGCGGTGTTCCGGCTAAACAAAATGGACTGGACAAGCTAAATATTTCATATATAAAAGCTCTACTGTTTCAATATAAGACCAAATCTTTCAAAATACCATTCAACGAAGCTACTTGACAAAAGTGATTTAGAAAAAAATGGACGTTTCCGTTTTGTATTTAGGTCGAAAATCGGTTTTTACTCTTCAACTGGATTCGGTCGAGGACATGAATTGGAACAACATCACTAAACACATCAACGGCAGCACTACTTCGTATAACTCCATCAATTTCTATAAAACTAAGATTTCATATCAAACTCATTAGCAGTCTGTTCATTGCGTTATCACAAACACAATCTATTTGCGGACCCTCATGCGAAGAAGAGTTCTCGCCCCACGACTCGGCTCTAGAACCTTCCAGCATTATCACAGACGAATAAATCCCTACAAAAAGAAAACTCTTTGGTACCCCCGTTCTAGAACAGTCGTGGAGTTTTAGTGAGAATTACTTCTTCGATGAGAAGGCCACAAATAGACCCGGCACCTAAAACTCAAGGCGATAGGCCGCGCACGAGGTCTCGTGATCTTGCAGGTTTATGGTGCAGCGTGAAGCAGAGGGAGACAGGTCGATCTTGTACTTCTCCAAGGCTTCCTCATTCTCCGTCACCCAGTAGCCCAGGACGTCGGTGTCATATGTGGGGATTATGGTCACTTCTGTGAAGGACAAGAAAGATATTGGCCGTTGTGATTATTTTGTCTTCATTTGATTACGGTACGTTCTTTTTTCATTTTTTTGGTGAACGAGCTCAAGAACCACCTGGTGTTAAGTAGTTAGTGAATCCCATAGAAATCACAACGCCGACAATACCGGTATTCACTTCGAGATGTGAGTTTGTAGGTCTCAATTGCATTTTATAACAACGGTTTTACCCCAAGCCGGAACACAGCCTTGCTTCGTAACCAAAATATAGCGCCGTAGTGGTATCATCTAACTCGTTTTGGCTAACTGCATAAGACGTATCCCTAGCACCAGTAAAAAAACATTAATACCTTAGTAAAGAAAATAGTGTGTGTGAGAAAAGGAATAAAGAGGAAAAATTGTGGGAAAATAAGAGAAAATAGTGTTATTTAATGTTACTCACCCAAATCTTTATCCTCCCAAGTCTTTTTGGCGTCAAGAAGGGCGTTGTAAATTTCTTTCGAAGGTTCAGTTCCGGAGAAAACATAATAACGTGCGCGGACACGTTTGAAGAATTCCACGGCAGAGTAATATGAGTTGCCGTGATGAGGAACGTATGTTAGCTCCATGTAGACTGGAGCTGGCGTCTTCTTCTTGCTAGGAGACTCTGACGCTCTCTTAGCTTCTTTGCTTTTCTCTTGGTTTAGTTTATTCTTGTTCAAAATTGTAGAACTGGTATTTTGCTTTTTCGGAGTACTTTTGCCGTCATGCTGATTTGGCGGCATAATTGGACTAGGTAGGCCGAGAGGTTTCCCCCAAGACTCGATCGGATCTTTGTCAAAAGTTTTACTGCTTTGTTCAAATCTTTCCGTCGAAGACTTTTTGCTGTGACTAGAAGATGTTTCAGTGGATTTTTTAGTCTCGGTTTTAATGTCTTTCAACGTAATGCTTTCTTCTTTTGATGTCGTTTTGCTTGAACTTGAGTGGGACCGTGTGTCAAGTTCGTATTTGGCTGTGATACTTGAGATTACATCAGAACCACTCACCTTCTTATGTTCTTCGATAGCTTTCTCAAAGTGTTCATCGGCCTCCTTCAAGAAGGTAGCATCTGATTTCTTGAGCACTACAACATCTGATTTAAGTTTCTCCTGTGTCAAGAATTCTTCTGTCTTTTTCGTAACACTTTTCTCAACTACACTTTTAACGTCTGAATGAGACGAAGACGCACAGGAATCATCTTCTGGTAGTTGTCCATAAATTGAGGAGGACATTGGGTCTTTATGTAATGCGGTATCCATATCCTTGTCGTCAAGTTGTTGAAGCTGTTTAGCATCTAACTCGAAGCTAAGATTTGATCGTGGAGAATGCGCAATCTGTGACTTAGTACTGCTGGGACTAGCTTGTCCGTCGTCGTCACTGTAATAAATACCACTACTTTCCGTACCCCAAAAATGCGTAGCAGCTCTTGAACCCCTGGAACTGATGTCTGATGGGGAAGACGTACCTGGGTGATCTAAATCGTCACTTGCAGCGGACGAACTCCTCATGTCGCCAGTCTTAGATGAAAGTTTCGAAAAAGATTTCTCACTTTCACCAGTGTCGATTATCTCTTCGTATTCTTCTTTGATTTCCGAAATGGTAGTCTTAGTTGATTTGGTTGTTTTAATAACCCCGTCGCTACCCTTACTGACTGTCGTAGTTTCGACCGTTATTTTGATTTTCTCTGGACTGATCACCTCTTTGGTTGTCACCACAGTTATAGTTTGTGTAATTTCATTTTCACCTTCTTTGACTATTTTCGTATATGTATCCGTTTCAGTGGTAATTTCGCCTACAGGTGACCGCTGCTTTTTCTGTTTGCTTTCAACTTTGGTCTCTGGTTTTAGTTTAAGTGGGAGATCTTCTACTTTTGGTTTTTCTTCTTGGGCCACTGGTTGCTTTTCGATTTCCTCTAGCTCTTCTGGAGACCAATCGTCAAGCCCGGTGCCAATAGGCAGGTATGTGATTTGTGTTCGAACGTCTTTAGTAGTTTCAACAGTACCATCGTCTTTAGCGTTCTCCGTAATAGTTTCTGTAACAGTTTTGACTGCGATTTCATTTGTATTATCATTTTTTAGTTCTTCTTTGGTAACATAGGTGGTAATAGTCTGCGTTATTCTCATTCCGCTTTCCATTATAACATTTGTTTTCTTATCAACAGATGTTTTAATTTTACCAGTAGGGTTGAGTCCTTGTAGTGCGGCCTGCAAGTCGCTGCCCGATGTTTTCTGGAATTCAGAAATGGTGATCTTCACATCCTTAGTGGTCTCTGTCGAACCGTCAGGGTATTCATCAACCGTCACAGTTTCTACAGTAGTTCTAACGCGTTTGACATTTACATCATTACTAGCCAATGTATCACGTTTAGTTTTCGTGGTTATTATTCGTTTAATTATTAAAGATCCCTGTTGAATCGTTTCATTTTTGACGTCAGATTCCTCTGTTGTATCTTCTACGATTTCATTGTCATCTATATAGGAGTCTTGATGCTCAGTATCATCTGCCTCAGTTTCTGCAGCTGGAGTTTTCAAAAAAACGTCAGCAATAGACACTTTTTCGCTTTTTTTAGTTATAACAGTTCCATCAGGGTATTCGTCTTCAACTACCGTTTTAACATTAGTTTTTATTTTTCGGGATCTAATCGAAGTATTCTCATATTCTTGTCGAATAGTTGTTACTGCTATTTTCCTAATGATATCGAGGCCGTTGCTTTTAATATGCTCTGTTTCCATAGTTGTGTGTTCCTTTGGTTCGCCAACTTCTGTGTATCCGGTAAGATTTTCATCAAACATTTCTACGCCATAATCAGCGACTGAAACTTTGACATCTTTTGTAACTTCAGTCACTCCTGTCGGGAGTTTCGTCTCAGTAATGACTTCAGTTGTCGTTCGAATTTTCTTTTTAGATTCATCTGCCGATGCCAATACTTCTTTAGTAGTTGTTGTCGTTATTATTTGCTTTACTTTTTTACCATCTCTAACCGTCAAATTTTCATCAGTTCGTACACTGACTGATTTGTCTTCTAAATTAGTAAATTCATCCAAAGCTTGTGTCTGAGGCATATCGTCTAATTGCATATCACTCACAGATGTACTAGTATCTACAGTTGTACGAATCGAGCCATCAGGATAGTGATCAGCAGTGGTAACAGTTGTAACAGTTTTCTGTTTTATAATTTTACCTTCTTTATCACAATACTTTGTTTTTTCGATTTTAGTCAATATATTTCTCTTTATAACGTGTTTTCCATCTTTGATCTCTTCTACTCTAGTCGTTTCGGACACCTCTGGCTTGTCAGCAGGAGTAAGGTGTTGAAGAGCAGCTACGACTTTATTTCTCTCGACTGAGTCTTCTTCGTCCTGCTGTGTATAAAGAGTTTCTTCAGTGAGAGATACTTTTTCGCTTGTTTTAGTTATAATGGATCCATCTGGATATTCATCTGCTATTGCAGTTTTCACAGTCGTTTTTGTTAGCATGATGTTATTTGTGAAATTATGGAATTCTTTAACTATTGTGGTTGTTGTAGTTTTTCGTGTAATTAGGATACCGTTCTCAGTGATTACATCAATTTCAGTAGTTGTATGTACTTTTGGTTCACCTGCTTCTTCAAATCCATCTAGGTTTTCCCCTACAATGTCTACTTCATCGTGATTTATATCGGAGAGTACTGTGCTGCTCTCTACTCCAGTACGCGAGGAACCGTCAGGGTAGGTATCCGTTTTCGTAATCGTGGTGGTTTCTTTAAGTTTTCTTAGAACTCCTTTGCTATCAGCATATTTTATTCTGACTATCTTAGTGACGATGAGTCGGCGAATGATTGTTTCTTTCTCTACAATTTCTTGTGTTTCCGATGTCTCTATCACTTCAGGTTCGTCGAACGGTACTAAATCTTTGAGCGCTATCTTTATTTTTTCATCTTCAGGGGTCACTTCCTCTTTTACTGGTGATGATTTTAGGTAAGAGCTTTCCGCCTTTTGGATATCAAATTCGACCTTTGATTCATCAATTTCCTTAACTGAAGTGCTGGTTTCGACATTAGTACGAATCAAACCATCTGGATATTGATCCGTAGTTGTGATCATCGTCACCACTTTGATTTTTCTAACAATTCCTTCATCGTCTACATATTTTGTCTTTGCTATGCGAGTTACGATAGTTCTCTTGATTATAACATGATTTTCTTTGACTTCCTCTGTCTGAGTGGATTCTGTCTCTTCTACTTTACCTTCTGCTGTCAGATTTTCAAGAGCTTTTTCAATGTTTGCTGTTTCAGATACAGCAATGTCACTGTCGTTTAAAGACACCAGATTTTCATCTACAATATAAACCTTTTCACTTGTCTTTGAAAATACAGAACCGTCTGGATGTTGGTCTTCTATATCTGTTTTTACAATAGTCTTGAGTCGCTTAATTTTTCTTTGCATGTTGATAAACTCATGTTCAACCGTTGTAACTGTAACTTTCCTCAAAACTTCGATGTTGTTTTCAATCATAGAATTTATTTGTGTTTTAATACTTTGCCGCGGCTCGCCTGCAGGTATAAATCCTTCTAAATCTTCATCAGACTCACCGGTGCCTATCGTTGTAAGGGTAGTATTACTTTCTGTTTGTGTTCTTGCACTACCATCAGGATACTTATCAGTTGTTTTAACTGTCGTCGTAGTCCTCAATTTTTTCAACATCCCTGATTTATCAGCGTATTTGATTTTCACTATTCTTGTGATAATTTCTCTATGGATGATGAAATCTTTTTCTTTGATTTCTTCTATGCTTGTCGTTTCAGTCACCTCTGGTTCGTCAGTAGGAGTTAAATCTTTTAGAGCTGCATCAATTTTAGATTCCTGGATCAGAAGGTCACCGTCATCTTCTACTTTTTCCGCTTGTTGACCTAGTACTTTGTCATCCTGACGTTCTGGCTTTTTGAATGAATCTTCCGTCTCATTCCTATCAAGATGGCCATTTTGAATTTTGTCCACGATATCATCGACCAAAGACATCTTTTCACTTGTCTTAGTTATGACCGAACCATCAAGATGCTCATCTTCAGTAACAACTTTGACAATTGTTTGAGTTCTTTCTATACGTTTTAACGCATTTACGTATTTCTTAATAGTAGTTGTAGTGTAGGTTTTCCTTTTTATTTTCTCTCCGTTTTCTTCAATAGAATCTTCAGTCACTGATGTCTCAATTAGAGGTTCAGTGGATTGGACGAAACCATCGAATGCTTCATCGAAGCTTTCATGACTATGATCAGAAATTGAGACCTTCAAATCTCTGGTGACTTCAGTCATGCCATTAGGAAGGTGTGTTTCTGTCACCGTTTCGACAGTGGTTCTAATCTTTTTCTTTATTTTATCTTTATTTGTTAATAACTCTTTCGTTGTAGTTATTGTTATCGTTTGTAATACATTTTTACCATTAATGACTACATATTTATCTTGGACGTTTCTTTCGACAACTTTGTCTTCAATTACAGTAAAACCTTGTAGTTCGTAATTCGAAGCTATCTCATCATTGATTTCGGTCAAGGTAGTATTAGAATTTACTTTAGTGCGAGCCGATCCATCGGGATAAGCGTCAGTGGTTGTAACAGATGTAAACGTCTTTATTTTCCGCGGTATCCCATCTTTATCAGCGTATTTTGTTTTGATAATCCTAGTGACTATTGTTCGTTTGATAATAAAATCTTCTTGTTTAATTTCTTCCGTTTTTGTTGTAATACTTTCCTCTGGTTCACCGAAGATGGTAAAATTTGTTAGTATTTTATCGAGGTTTGTTGTAGAATCCATGATTAATTCTTCAGTTTTGACATCAACGTTTCTTTGGACATCTTTTGAACCGTCTGGGTACTCCTTTGTAACATTGGTTTCAATTGTTGTCCTTAATATTTTTTTGCTATCATCAATTCTAACAGTTTCTTTTTTGGTAATTGTAGTGATCGTTTCAACTATATCAATATTATTTTCTTTTATAATCCTCTTGCTGACGTCAGTGTCAATTATGGTGTCTTCAATATTGTCATCTAACTCGTCGACTTCGCCAACAAGAGTTCTTGATGCATCCTGTTCTTTCTCACTAGTAAATTTCAGTTGGAAACTACCTAATGTATCCGATTTTTCAGTAGTTTCAGTATAGTCCGATCGGCTCTCCGTTGAGTACATGTCCAACTGAGATGTAGATCTAAGACTTGACGAACATTCCGAAACTAGAGTTTCTGTATCTTTTGTTGTAGTTGTTGATCCGTCTTGCCCCTTACTTAGTGTTGTTGTTTCAATTGTTGTTTTGATGTTCTGCGGTGTCCCGTCTTCTCTAGAAATTATTTCTTTTGTTGTAACCGTTGTTATTGTTTGCGTTACAACATTTTCACCTTCTTTGATTATTTTAGTGACCGTGTCGGTTTCAGTTTGAATTTTGCCTACTGTCTGCATGAGAGCTATGGCGTCTGAGTCATCATCAGTTTCGACGGAGGATTTAGGTAATTTGGGAACTTTTTCTGTTGACGTAGATATTTTTTGTGTCAGAACATCTTCACCAACGTGTACTACTTTGGTTATTGTTTCTTCACTATCTTCCGATTTATCGTATGTAACTTCGCTTTGGATTCCATCAGATATTTTGATGTCTTGGAAGTTACTAGGAGTTTTAGGCAGTGGACTGACAGGTACTGTGGGCGGAGTAGACATCCTTTCGATATCTGGCCTTGCAACCAAAGGTTCAATATTTTCTACTTTAATACCTTGCTGTACAGTTTCCATCTCGAAAGCTTTATTAATAGATTCCATTAGGCGGACAGCACTATGTTTTGTTAATTGATCAACCCAAGGTTCATCGGAACCGGATGCTGTGTGATCGACATCCATTAAAATGCTATGTACACCAGAATCAGATGTCTCTGAAAATGCAATTTCTTCCTTTGAAGACCCGAGTTCAGTCCTTGTTAATATTTTGCTTTCATATTTAGATTTTGATTCTGGGAATAATGTGAACGACTCTGTTTCTTGAGTGTGTTGAACAGAATCTAAAACAGTACTACTGCTTTCCATAAGAAGTGAATCAGCATCAAGCTTAACAGTCTTTTTTTCACTAGTTTCAAAGCTATGTTTTTCTTCCAGACTAATATCCTTAGAAACATCCTCGGAACTACCCTCACGTACCAATACATTTGAAGTGTGACAGTCTTGTACCTTTTGTGTGGATTCTGTTTCGGACAGAAGTGGTCTTTCTTTAACTAATTTTTTGATCGTGGTTACTTTAGATTCAGTTAGTGATTCGTCAACACCTTGTTCTTCATATGTCAAATCCTTCACTGTTGCTTCCTTTTGCGGAGCTTTATCATGGCTATATTTCTGGCCATCGGGTATTGATTGTTCTGGCTTAGATGCTTTTTGATCAGGTTTCTCTAAGCTAGGTGTTTCCTTATCAGGCTTATCTGCGCTTAGTACCACCGAATCAAACTTGTTGGGACTTGGCTCCTTCGGGTCGGATATTATTGAACTTGGTAATTTATCATCAGATTTTTCGGGTGCTTTTCCTTTACTATCCGTGGAACTGGGAACAATTTTGTCCGTCGTGTCAGAGCTAACAGCCTTTTCGAGGTTTTCAAGATCCACTTGCTTAATATCTGTTTCATCAATTTTATTTACTTTTTGTTTCACACCATCGACGAAACATGAATCGGAACTAGAAATATCTTTTTCTAAACGTACTTGCTTTACATCAAGTGGGTCAGAAATGATATCTAATGTGCTTTTTGCAATTGTTTTTTCTTTTTTATCAATAATTTTTACTGGTTTTGGAAGTTGGTTTGATTCATCGAATTCTGGCAGGATTTTATCTTTTCCCACTATCTCTATCTGTTCGCTTAATTGAACTGGGACCTTCTTTTTTGTGATTGTTTTTTTACTAAAATTAGAATCCTCCTCATTATAATTTCGCATAATATCTAGTTCTGATTCTGTTGCATGAACACAAATTTCTTCAATGCCTTTTACCTTGTCGTCTTGTTTTTCTGAATCAATTTCCAACCTAGAAATAATCTTCAGTTCTTTTGGAGCCAATTCTTTATCGTTCACTCCATCGGCCTGCCTTTCTCTCTCTTGATCACGTTCTTCTGCGGGAACATTGCTGAGAGATACTTCAGACTGTAGAATAGGTAAAGAGAAATCATCGATGGTGGTAACTTTTTTTTGTGTACCATTTGTTATTTTGTTTGTGACTTCATCTCCCGTTGAATGANTAGAAATAATCTTCAGTTCTTTTGGAGCCAATTCTTTATCGTTCACTCCATCGGCCTGCCTTTCTCTCTCTTGATCACGTTCTTCTGCGGGAACATTGCTGAGAGATACTTCAGACTGTAGAATAGGTAAAGAGAAATCATCGATGGTGGTAACTTTTTTTTGTGTACCATTTGTTATTTTGTTTGTGACTTCATCTCCAGTTGAATGATAATAAGCTGGTTTCTCATAGAATATTTCAGTTTCAATCTTATGAATTTCTTTGTCTTGACATTTTTCTGAGTCAGTCGAAACCGATTTCGTCAATGCCTCTTTGGAACTTAGTTCAATAGAATCTTTCAATTTAAGTGAAGCTGTTTTTTCTGCTGCTTCAGTGAGAAGTTCAATTTTATCAGCACTCATAGACTTTTCACCTTCTTGTAGCGATGACGTTTTTTCAAATGCGGTAAAGCTAATTTTTTGTATTGTATCGGTTGTTTTTCGTTTCATGTCAGAAAATTGAGTTAAGGAATCATTTTCAGAAGTCGTATTGTCCTTTAATAGCTCTAATTCTGAAGCAGACCCTTTTTTCGTAGCATCTAGGTGCTCAGATGACTTTTCCACACTTGTTTTATCCTTAGCCGCAGTGACATCAGATTTGATGTCGTTGGTTGATTTTGATGTCGTCTTTTCCTTAGATACAATTTTATCTGGACCGAAATCTAGTTTCATCAAAGACAGGTCCAACTTCGTTGATTCTTCAACAAACGTTGGTGTATCATCGTGCAAAGCGAAGCCATTCTCTTTGTAACATGTTTCACTTCCATCTCTTCCATGGGACGTTTGCTTATTTGAAACTAATGGTTTTGTTTTTGTTTCAGACTTTTGTTCGTAGAGTAGGCTTTGTGTATTTTCAGGAAGCTCTTCAGAAGCAACGATCTTCTCATTGATTTGTTTTAGTAGATGCTTATCTGACTTCACAGGCAGTGGGAGTGGCTCGTTCACCTGATCTTTGAGAGGAGTTGGTTTCTTCTCCTCATCTCCGGTAGAGCTATGTAACTTGTCCACATTTTTAATTTGCACTGGTGTCTTCTCAGCATCTTTTATAGGAATTGTAGCTTTGCCAACATCATTGGTTTGCGTAGGCACTTTTATGACTAGTTCAGTTGGGCTTAGTGTTTTTTCATCCTCTTTGATGGGCATTCGTTCCTTTTCATCACCTTTGATAGGACTCGATGCTTTCTCATCACTTTTGATAGGGCTTGGTGTCTTTTCATCATCTTTGATAGTCATTGGTACCCTATCATCATCTTTAGTAGAAACCTGTGCGCTCTCATAGTCTTTGATAAAGCTTCGTGCCTTCTCATCAACCTTGACAGGGCTTCGCACCCTCTCATCCTTTTTGATGGGCTTTAGTTCTATCTCAACAACTTCAATTGGGCTTGGTGTCTTTTCTTCGTCTTTGATAGAAACTGGTACTTTTTCATCAAATTTTGCAGGGCTCGGTGCCTTCTCGATAGAAACAGGTGCGCTCTCATCGCCTTTGACAGGGCTTGGTGGCTTCTGTTCATCTTTGATGGGACTTGGCACCATGGTGTCATCTATCGGCGTCTTCTCATCCGTTTTGATCGGCATTGGCTCTTTTTCAACAACTTCGATCGGGCTTGGCGCTTTTGCTTTGTCTTTAATAGAAACTGGTACCTTTTCATCATCTTTGACAGGGCTCGGAGCCTTCTCGTTAACCTTGATAGGGCTTGGCGCCTTCTCGTCGTCTTTTATAGGGCTAGGCACCTTCTCATCGATTTTGATGGGCATTGACTCTTTTTCAACAACTTCGATTTGGCTTGTCACCTTTTCTTCGTCTTTGGTAAAAACTGGCACCGTTTCATCACCTTTGATAGAGCTCGCAACCTTCTCGTCCGTTTTGATGGTCATTGGCTCTTTTTCAACAACTTTGATCGGGCTTGGCGCTTTTGCTTTGTCTTTGATAGAAACTGGCACCCTGTCATCACCTTTGATAGAGCTCGGCACCTTCTCATCCAATTTAATGGTCATTGGCTCTTTTTCAATAACTTCGATCGGGCTTGGCGCTTTTGCTTTGTCTTTGATAGAAACTGTTACCTTTTCATCATCTTTGACAGGGCTTGGAGCCTTCTCGTCAACCTTGATAGGACTTGGTGCCTTCTCCTCATCTTTTGCAGGGCTCGGTGCCTTCTCGGCTTTCTCGACAGAAACAGGTGCGCTCTCATCGTCTTTGGCAGAGACTAGTGGTTTCTGTTCATCTTTAATGGGGCTTGGCGCCTCGGTATCATCTTTTATATATACTGGTGCCTTATCATCTTTGATTGGGCTTGGCGCCTTCTCGTCAACCTTGAAAGGACTTGGTGCCTTCTGATCACTTGTGATGTGCATTGGTTCTTTCTCAACAACTTCGATTGGGCTTGACGACTTTCCTTTGTCTTTGATAGAAATTGGTACCTTTTCAACATCTTTGATTGCGCTTGGCACCTTCTCGTCTTTTTTGATTGGGCTTGGTACTTTGTCTTCGCCTATGATAAGGCTCGATGCCTTCTCCTCTTCTTTGATTAGGCTTGGTGCCTTCTCATCGTCCTTGATGTGACTCGGTTCCTTCAGAACATCGTTGATAGGCACTTGTTCCTTGTCCTTAATATCAGTAGAGCTTGGTATTATCTGTTCAAGTTGACTAAATACAGTTGTTTTTGTACTGCTGATGAGTTGTCGTTCCATATCCAAAAACGTCGAAACCAGGTCTTTATGTGTAATAACGTCCTCTGAAGTAGCGGTTGTTACGGCACTTGTAAAATTACTTTCAACCAATTTCTTCATTGTACTCTCTTCTTCTGTTTGATCAAATGACTGAATTTTGATGGCATCAAAGTGACCCAGGCTTGTATCTTTCTTATCAAGATAAATTGATTTTGGTTCTTTCTCAACAGTATCGATTAGGCTCGGTGCTTTGTCATCTTCTTCGATACGAGCTGGTACTTTCTCATCGTCCTGGACAGGGCTCGGCGCTTCCTTATATTCTTTGATTGGGCTTGATGCCTTCTCGTCGTCCTTGACAGGGCTCGGCGCCTTCTCGTCATCTTTGATTGGGCTTGATGCCTTCTCAACGTCCTCGACAGGACTCGGCGCCTTCTCATCTTCTTTGATTAGGCTTGGTGCCTTCTCATCATCCTTGATAGAGCTCGGCGCCTTCTTATCTTGTTTAATAGGACTTGGCGCCTTCTCATCTTCTTTGATTGGGCTTGGTGCCTTCTCAACGTCCTTGACAGGACTCGGTGCCTTCTCATCTTCTTTGATTAGGCTTGGTGCCTTCTCGTCGTCCTTGACGGGGCTCGGCGCCTTCTCATCTTGTTTAATAGGACTTGGTGCCTTCTCGTCTTTTTTGATTGGGCTTGACGCCTTCTCATCTTCTTTGATTGGGCTTGGTGCCTTCTCAACATCTTTGATTAGGCTTGGTGCCTTCTCATCGTCCTTGACAGGGCTTGGCGCCTTCAGAACATCTTTGATTGGGCTTGGTGCCTTCTGATCACCTGTGATGTGCATTAGTTCTTCCTCAACAACTTCGATTGGGCTAGGTGCCTTCTCGTCGTCCTTGACGTGGCTCAGCGCCTTCTGATCTTGTTTAATAGGACTTGGTGCCTTCTCATCTTCTTTGATTGGGCTTGGCGTCTTATCGTCTCCTTTGATTGGGCTCGGCGCCTTCTCATCGTCCTTGACAGGGCTCGGCGCCTTCTCAACATCTTTGATTGGGCTTGGTGCCTTCTGATCATCTGTGATGAGCATTGGTTCTTCCTCAACAACTTCGATAGGGCTTGGCGCCTTCTCATCTTCTTTAATTGGGCTTGGTGCCTTCTCAACGTCCTTGACAGGGCTCGGCGCCTTCTCATCTTCTTTGATTGGGCTTGGCGCCTTCTCATCTTCTTTAATAGGACTTGGTGCCTTCTCATCGTCCTTGATAGGGCTTGGCGCCTTCTCGTCATCTTTGATTGGGCTTGGTGCCTTCTCAACGTCCTTGATAGGGCTTGGCGCTTTTTCATCATCTTTGATTGGGCTAGGTGCCTTCTCGTCGTCCTTGACGGGGCTCGACGCCTTCTCATCTTGTTTAATAGGACTTGGTGCCTTCTCATCTTCTTTGATTGGTCTTGGTGCCTTCTCATCGTCCTTGACAGGGCTCGGCGCCTTCAGAACATCTTTGATTGGGCTTGGTGCCTTCTGATCACCTGTGATGTGCATTGGTTCTTCCTCAACAACTTCGATTGGGCTAGGTGCCTTCTCGTCGTCCTTGACGTGGCTCAGCGCCTTCTGATCTTGTTTAATAGGACTTGGTGCCTTCTCATCTTCTTTGATTGGGCTTGGCGCCTTATCGTCTTCTTTGATTGGGCTCGGCGCCTTCTCATCGTCCTTGACAGGGCTCGGCGCCTTCTCAACATCTTTGATTGGGCTTGGTGCCTTCTGATCATCTGTGATGAGCATTGGTTCTTCCTCAACAACTTCGATAGGGCTTGGCGCCTTCTCATCTTCTTTAATTGGGCTTGGTGCCTTCTCATCGTCCTTGACAGGGCTCGGCGCCTTCTCATCATCTTTGATTGGGCTTGGTGCCTTCTGATCACCTGTGATGTGCATTGGTTCTTCCTCAACAACTTCGATTGGGCTAGGTGCCTTCTCGTCGTCCTTGACGGGGCTCAGCGCCTTCTGATCTTGTTTAATAGGACTTGGTGCCTTCTCATCTTCTTTGATTGGGCTTGGCGCCTTATCGTCTTCTTTGATTGGGCTCGGCGCCTTCTCGTTATCTTTGGTTTGTCTTGGTGTCTTCTCATCGTCCTTGACAGGGCTCGGCGCCTTCACGTCATCTTTGATTGGGCTTGGTGCCTTCTGATCACCTGTGATGTGCATTGGTTCTTCCTCAACAACTTCGATAGGGCTAGGTGCCTTCTCGTCGTCCTTGACGGGGCTCGGCGCCTTCTCATCTTGTTTAATAGGACTTGGTGCCTTCTCATCTTCTTTGATTGGGCTTGGTGCCTTCTCATCGTCCTTGACAGGGCTCGGCGCCTTCTCGTCATCTTTGATTGGACTTGATATCTTCTCAACGTCCTTGACAGGGCTCGGCGCCTTCTCATCTTCTTTGATTAGGCTTGGTGCCTTCTCATCGTCCTTGACAGGGCTCGGCGCCTTCTCGTCATCTTTGATTGGGCTTGGTGCCTTCTCATCGTCCTTGACAGGGCTCGGCGCCTTCTCGTCATCTTTGATTGGACTTGATATCTTCTCAACGTCCTTGACAGGGCTCGGCGCCTTCTTATCTTCTTTGATTAGGCTTGGTGCCTTCTCATCGTCCTTGACAGGGCTCGGCGCCTTCTCGTCATCTTTGATTGGACTTGATATCTTCTCAACGTCCTTGACAGGGCTCGGCGCCTTCTTATCTTCTTTGATTAGGCTTGGTGCCTTCTCATCGTCCTTGACAGGGCTCGGCGCCTTCTCGTCATCTTTGATTGGACTTGATATCTTCTCAACGTCCTTGACAGGGCTCGGCGCCTTCTTATCTTCTTTGATTAGGCTTGGTGCCTTCTCATCGTCCTTGACAGGGCTCGGCGCCTTCTCGTCATCTTTGATTGGACTTGATATCTTCTCAACGTCCTTGACAGGGCTCGGCGCCTTCTTATCTTCTTTGATTAGGCTTGGTGCCTTCTCATCGTCCTTGACAGGGCTCGGCGCCTTCTCGTCATCTTTGATTGGACTTGATATCTTCTCATCGTCCTTGACAGAGCTCGGCGCCTTCTCGTCATCTTTGATTGGACTTGATACCTTCTCAACGTCCTTGACAGGGCTCGGCGCCTTCTTATCTTCTTTGATTAGGCTTGGTGCCTTCTCATCGTCCTTGACAGGGCTCGGCGCCTTCTCGTCATCTTTTATTGGACTTGTTGTCTTCTCAACGTCCTTGACAGGGCTCGGCGCCTTCTCATCTTCTTTGATTAGGCTTGGTGCCTTCTCATCGTCTTTGAATGAGCTCGGCGTCTTCTCATCTTCTTTGATTAGGCTTGGTGCCTTCTCATCGTCCTTGACAGGGCTCGGCGCCTTCTCGTCATCTTTGATTGGACTTGATATCTTCTCAACGTCCTTGACAGGGCTCGGCGCCTTCTTATCTTCTTTGATTAGGCTTGGTGCCTTCTCATCGTCCTTGACAGGGCTTGGTGCCTTCTCATCGTCCTTGACAGGGCTCGGTGCCTTCAGAACATCTTTGATTGGGCTTGGTGCCTTCTGATCACCTGTGATGAGCATTGGTTCTTCCTCAACAACTTCGATTGGGCTAGGTGCCTTCTCATCGTCCTTGACGGGGCTCGGCGCCTTCTGATCTTGTTTAATAGGACTTGGTGCCTTCTCATCTTCTTTGATTGGGCTTGATGCCTTCTCAACGTCCTCGACAGGGCTCGGCGCCTTCTCATATTCTTTGATTAGGCTGCTTGGTGCCTTCTCATCGTCCTTGATAGAGCTCGGCACCTTCTCGTCATCTTTGATTGGACTTGATACCTTCTCAACGTCCTTGACAGGGCTCGGCGCCTTCCCGTCATCTTTGATTGGGCTCGGCGCCTTCTCGTCATCTTTGATTGGACTTGATATTTTCTCAACATCCTTGACAGGGCTCGGCGCCTTCTTATCTTCTTTGATTAGGCTTGGTGCCTTCTCATCGTCCTTGACAAGGCTCGGCGCCTTCTCGTCATCTTTGATTGGACTTGTTGTCTTCTCAACGTCCTTGACAGGGCTCGGCGCCTTCTCGTCTTCTTTGATTAGGCTTGGTGCCTTCTCATCGTCTTTGAATGAGCTCGGCACCTTCTCATCTTCTTTGATTAGGCTTGGTGCCTTCTCATCGTCCTTGACAGGGCTCGGCGCCTTCTCGTCATCTTTGATTGGACTTGATATCTTCTCAACGTCCTTGACAGGGCTCGGCGCCTTCTTATCTTCTTTGATTAGGCTTGGTGCCTTCTCATCGTCCTTGACAAGGCTCGGCGCCTTCTCGTCATCTTTTATTGGACTTGTTGTCTTCTCAACGTCCTTGACAGGGCTCGGCGCCTTCTCATCTTCTTTGATTAGGCTTGGTGCCTTCTCATCGTCTTTGAATGAGCTCGGCACCTTCTCATCTTCTTTGATTAGGCTTGGTGCCTTCTCATCGTCCTTGACAGGGCTCGGCGCCTTCTCGTCATCTTTGATTGGACTTGATATCTTCTCAACGTCCTTGACAGGGCTCGGCGCCTTCTTATCTTCTTTGATTAGGCTTGGTGCCTTCTCATCGTCCTTGACAAGGCTCGGCGCCTTCTCGTCATCTTTTATTGGACTTGTTGTCTTCTCAACGTCCTTGACAGGGCTCGGCGCCTTCTCATCTTCTTTGATTAGGCTTGGTGCCTTCTCATCGTCTTTGAATGAGCTCGGCACCTTCTCATCTTCTTTGATTAGGCTTGGTGCCTTCTCATCGTCCTTGACAGGGCTCGGCGCCTTCTCGTCATCTTTGATTGGACTTGATATCTTCTCAACGTCCTTGACAGGGCTCGGCGCCTTCTTATCTTCTTTGATTAGGCTTGGTGCCTTCTCATCGTCCTTGACAAGGCTCGGCGCCTTCTCGTCATCTTTTATTGGACTTGTTGTCTTCTCAACGTCCTTGACAGGGCTCGGCGCCTTCTCATCTTCTTTGATTAGGCTTGGTGCCTTCTCATCGTCTTTGAATGAGCTCGGCACCTTCTCATCTTCTTTGATTAGGCTTGGTGCCTTCTCATCGTCCTTGACAGGGCTCGGCGCCTTCTCGTCATCTTTGATTGGACTTGATATCTTCTCAACGTCCTTGACAGGGCTCGGCGCCTTCTTATCTTCTTTGATTAGGCTTGGTGCCTTCTCATCGTCCTTGACAAGGCTCGGCGCCTTCTCGTCATCTTTTATTGGACTTGTTGTCTTCTCAACGTCCTTGACAGGGCTCGGCGCCTTCTCATCTTCTTTGATTAGGCTTGGTGCCTTCTCATCGTCTTTGAATGAGCTCGGCACCTTCTCATCTTCTTTGATTAGGCTTGGTGCCTTCTCATCGTCCTTGACAGGGCTCGGCGCCTTCTCGTCATCTTTGATTGGACTTGATATCTTCTCAACGTCCTTGACAGGGCTCGGCGCCTTCTTATCTTCTTTGATTAGGCTTGGTGCCTTCTCATCGTCCTTGACAGGGCTCGGCGCCTTCCCGTCATCTTCGATAGGGCTTGGTGCCTTCTCGTCTTCTTTGACTAGGCCTGGCGCCTTCTTGTCATCTTTGATTGGACTTGTTGTCTTCACAACGTCCTTGACAGGGCTCGGCGCCTTCTCATCTTCTTTGATTAGGCTTGGTGCCTTCTCATCGTCCTTGACAGGGCTCGGCGCCTTTTCGTCATCTTTGATTGGACTTGATATCTTCTCAACGTCCTTGACAGGGCTCGGCGCCTTCTTATCTTCTTTGATTAGGCTTGGTGCCTTCTCATCGTCCTTGATAAGGCTCGGCGCCTTCTCGTCTTCTTTGACTAGGCCTGGCGCCTTCCCGTCATCTTCGATAGGGCTTGGTGCCTTCTCGTCTTCTTTGACTAGGCCTGGCGCCTTCTTGTCATCTTTGATTGGACTTGTTGTCTTCACAACGTCCTTGACAGGGCTCGGCGCCTTCTCATCTTCTTTGATTGGGCTTGGTGCCTTCTCATCGTCCTTGACAGGGCTCGGCGCCTTCTCATCTTCTTTGATTGGGCTTGGTGCCTTCTCAACGTCCTTGACAGGGCTCGGCGCCTTCTCGTCATCTTTGGTTGGGCTCGGTGCCTTCTCATCACCTGTGATGTGCATTGGTTCTTCCTTAACAACTTCGATAGGGCTTGGCGCCTTCTCATCTTGTTTAATGGGTATTGGGATGCTCTTATCGTCCTTGACAGGACTCGTTTCCTTCAGATCATCTTTGATTGGCACCGGTTCCTTCTCTTTAATTTCGGTTGAAGAAGAACTTGTTATTATCTGTTCAAGTTGACTAGATACTGTTGTTTTTGTACTGCTGATCAGCTGTCGTTCCATATCCAAAAACGTCGAAACCAGGTCTTTATGTGTAATTACGTCCTCTGAAGTAGTGGTTGTTACGGCACTTGTAAAACTACTTTCAACCAGTTTCTTCATTGTCCTCTCTTCTTCTGTTTGATCAAATGACTGAATTTTGATGTCATCAAGGTGAGTTAACCTTGTTACTTTCTCATCAAGATCTATTGGTTTTGGAGCTTTCTCAACTTCTTCCGTAAGGCTTGTTGCCTTCTGATCATCTTTGATAGGAATTGGCTCTTTCTTAAGAGTTTCGATCAGGGTTGGCGTCTTTTGTTCTTCTTCAATAGGGCTTGGCACCTTCTCGTCTTCTTTAATCAAATCAATCGGGCTTGGCTCTTTCTCATCTTCTTTGATAGGGCTTGGCACCTTCTCAACTTCTTTGATTGGACTTGGCACCTTCTTATCGTCTTCGACAGGGCTCGGCGCCTTCTGATCACCTGTGATGTGGATTGGTTCTTTATTTACAACTTCGAATAGGCTTGCCACTTTCTCGTCTTCTGTGATTAGTCTTGGTGTCTTCTCATCGTCCTTGACAGGGCTCGGTGCCTTCTCAACATCTTTGATTGGGCTTGATGCCTTCTGATCACCTGTGATGTGCATTGGTTCTTCCTCAACAACTTCGATAGGGCTTGGTGCCTTCTCGTCTTCTTTGACTAGGCTTGGCGCCTTCTCGTCTTCTTTGATTGGGCCTGGCGCCTTCTCGTCATCTTTGATTGGACTTGTTGTCTTCTCAACGTCCTTGACAGGGCTCGGCGCCTTCTCATCTTCTTTGATTAGGCTTGGTGCCTTCTCATCGTCTTTGAATGAGCTCGGCGTCTTCTCATCTTCTTTGATTAGGCTTGGTGCCTTCTCATCGTCCTTGACAGGGCTCGGCGCCTTCTCGTCATCTTTGATTGGACTTGATATCTTCTCAACGTCCTTGACAGGGCTCGGCGCCTTCTTATCTTCTTTGATTAGGCTTGGTGCCTTCTCATCGTCCTTGACAGGGCTCGGCGCCTTCTCGTCATCTTTGATTGGACTTGATATCTTCTCAACGTCCTTGACAGGGCTCGGCGCCTTCTTATCTTCTTTGATTAGGCTTGGTGCCTTCTCATCGTCCTTGACAGGGCTCGGCGCCTTCTCGTCATCTTTGATTGGACTTGATATCTTCTCAACGTCCTTGACAGGGCTCGGCGCCTTCTTATCTTCTTTGATTAGGCTTGGTGCCTTCTCATCGTCCTTGACAGGGCTCGGCGCCTTCTCGTCATCTTTGATTGGACTTGATATCTTCTCAACGTCCTTGACAGGGCTCGGCGCCTTCTTATCTTCTTTGATTAGGCTTGGTGCCTTCTCATCGTCCTTGACAGGGCTCGGCGCCTTCTCGTCATCTTTGATTGGACTTGATATCTTCTCAACGTCCTTGACAGGGCTCGGCGCCTTCTTATCTTCTTTGATTAGGCTTGGTGCCTTCTCATCGTCCTTGACAGGGCTCGGCGCCTTCTCGTCATCTTTGATTGGACTTGATATCTTCTCAACGTCCTTGACAGGGCTCGGCGCCTTCTTATCTTCTTTGATTAGGCTTGGTGCCTTCTCATCGTCCTTGACAGGGCTCGGCGCCTTCTCGTCATCTTTGATTGGACTTGATATCTTCTCAACGTCCTTGACAGGGCTCGGCGCCTTCTTATCTTCTTTGATTAGGCTTGGTGCCTTCTCATCGTCCTTGACAGGGCTCGGCGCCTTCTCGTCATCTTTGATTGGACTTGATATCTTCTCAACGTCCTTGACAGGGCTCGGCGCCTTCTTATCTTCTTTGATTAGGCTTGGTGCCTTCTCATCGTCCTTGACAGGGCTCGGCGCCTTCTCGTCATCTTTGATTGGACTTGATATCTTCTCAACGTCCTTGACAGGGCTCGGCGCCTTCTTATCTTCTTTGATTAGGCTTGGTGCCTTCTCATCGTCCTTGACAGGGCTCGGCGCCTTCTCGACATTTTTGATTGGGCTTGGTGCCTTCTGATCACCTGTGATGTGCATTGGTTCTTCCTCAACAACTTCGATTGGGCTAGGTGCCTTCTCGTTGTCCTTGACGGGGCTCGGCGCCTTCTCATCTTGTTTAATAGGACTTGGTGCCTTCTCATCGTCCTTGACAGGGCTCG